ATTCAAGCTCTAAGTCATAATAAACTTTTGTCTACCAATCATTAACATGATCTATTAAATTTTATAACTAATATATATATATATATATATATATATATATATATATATATATATATATATATATATACTGTGGAACTAACAAATATACAACTACAATTAAAATTCAGATAAATAATATCAATATAGAAATAACAATATGTTAGACAAAAATATTATTTATTAAAAAATATGACATTGCCAGGCGTAGGTTAAGAAAATAAAAAAATATATAAATTGAAACAATTTGAATTATAATATAAATCTTATATATATATATATATATATATATATATATATATATATATATAAAAGTATACAACTACAATTAAAATTAAGATAAATAATATCAATATGACATTATGTTAGAAAAATAATATTTATTAAAAAACTATATATTTGTGTGATTTAAGAAAATAAAAAATATAATTTAGAATAATTTGAATTATAAATTTAATTTATTTAAAAAATATATTGGGTCTAATAGTTAAGATTTCAATATAAAATTAATGGTTAATAATAACCTCTAACATCTATTTAAATCATTCTATTTAACAAAAACAGATAATATTAATTTCTTAAGCTCAAATTTGTCCAGAACTTTGATTGAATTAGTAGAACACACGTCACAACTACCCTTAGTTTATAATATATGCTATGTACACTACATGTTGTATCCTAATAGAAACTGTGATTATTCAACTTCAAACATAAGGGCTTTGATTCACATATTTGTCCCTATATTGGATATAAGTTTATAAGGTAAGACTTTGTCGATAATGGTGAATTTTTTTTTTTCAAATTCAATTATTAAAATAAAACATCCTTTTGATAAAAAACAAACCAGAATAGTTTTAACATAATTTTGAAACATTCACTAATTCATTTTAAGAAAAAAAAAGTTTTACATTTGATTTTTAATTATAAAAAAGACACATTCTTTGATGTGACTCTTCTCCGAGTCGCATGATTTTATTATAATCACCATTACATGTACAGTTATCAATCTTTTTATCACTACAATTACAATTATTATATTAATATCACTAAGAGATTAAAAAAATAGCATTTTTTTAGTTGAATTTTATTACAGAAAATCTGAATTAAAATACATGTGAATTTTTTTATTTAGTAGACACATCATATTAAATCCTGAATATATCCAAAATAATTATATAATATATATTTACTCTTGATTTTCCTATGCAAACAGAACAGAACATAAGACATAGTGAACTAATTTCAATAAAACATGAAGTTAGAAAAATAATAAGATAGTGATCACGACAGTATTTGTTTGAAGAAGACAAGTAGGGTTATCTGTTTGGGCCTTGTGACCTGGTCCGTACAAATTAACTAAAAATAATACTTTTTTTTCCTATATAAAGTTGTTTAAATATTAAGGATGTCACTGAATTGACAGATAATCGTTTGTTTCTGCGTTTCGAAAGTTAATTTCAAAATAAATAAATAAATAAACCAATTTTTTTTTATAAGAGTGCATAAAGAAAAAGTCAATATTCCATAATTTAGTTTTTTTTAATCATTTTATTTTGATAAGCCTATTAACCTAATTTGACTTAGTGAATAAGCTTGAAAATCTTGTAATGAAAAAATAAATACAGTAACATATTTTAATTATCTGACTTGTTTGAATTTTGTAATAAAATAAACCCTTAAAAATATTTTTGAGCAGTGTTAGGGTAAATTAAAAGCTACAATATAAAAATATAAAGTTAGACACAGTGATTAATGGTTAGTTAGATTTTGATATCGCAATTATCAGTTTTAATCTCTAACCAGTGGTAAAATCTCCCAACCAAACTAAGAAAAATTATAATAATTTGTTTTACATAATTTTAGTTTTTATTTTTTCGAAAAACTGTTATAATATGTATAACACAATTTTAGTTCACAAGATAACTGTTAAGTTTCTTAATTCACATGTTTAAAATTAAAAACATGATATTTAAATAAATAAATTGTTTTTAAAAAATGTAGAAATTTTGAATAAGAGAGAGTGTTTAAAATATTAGAAAATGGAAGAAAATAAACCAATATTTTCACGTTATTTTTTTGCACACAGACATAGTAGATATGTGAGAAATACTTTATATTTTTTTTAATTATTTGTATTTTTTGGAGTAACAAAATATGAAACACATGTAATAGTTAAATTAATTTAATTAATAATTATAAAATATTCAGAGTATTTAGATTAATGTATGAATATTTTATATAAGCAATTTTAAAGATTATAAGATCCACTAAAAATTAATTGTCATTGAAGAAAAATTGTTGTTTATTAATCTTTCAAAAATTTAGGTTTGGTTTTAAACCAAGTAGACATAGATATAATAACATGAAATTAAGTTTGCAATTATACAGTAATAACAACAGTAACTAAATATAAAAAAAATTATTCATAAATATACTAGTAAAATCTGTTTATTTATTTCTATCAAAAGTATTCAATTAATTTGTACTTCATCCAAATCAACCATAATTTTGCAATTAAATTAACAAAAAGTAGATAAATGATAGCACTTTTCAAGCGTTTCACAGATGATAACATTTAATTAGACAAATAACATCTTCAAAACAAAAATAAAACAACTTTTTCATTCCATGAATATAATAAAAGTATTTATATATATATCTTTAAGAAATTTACGATGAGTAAGAATATTTAAATATATAATGTGTTATTTATATATATATATATATATATATATATATATAAATTTATTGTAATAATATTATAATTATTAATAACAAATATTAGACTTATCACTATCATCTTAGATAAAATACAAATAATATTTATAAATTATTTTTTTAATGAGATTAATAATGAAATAATAATAATAATTATAACTAAAATAATATTTATTTTCACGTACAAGTACCATTATAATAAAATGCAATGTTTAAAAAATGATGTTTTTTTTTAAATAAAAAATAATAAATATCTAAATGAATTCTACCTATCTTTCTTTATTTCTAACATTTAAAATTACATAGATTTTTTTTTAATTGAAAGTTGGACGAGAATGGCAGGTTCAACTCAACTGACTAAAAATTAATAGTTATTTTTAAATAATTATATTTAAATTAAATTCGATAAAATAAAAAAAATTGATTGAAATTTTTTATAGAATTTATTTTAATAAAAAAATTAAAATTAGATTTTTTTTATAAAAATATAATATATTTTAATTTTTTTATTTATATTAATTACATCCATTTTAAATAATAATTAATTTATTATATTTTTATCTTATTTTAATCATTATTTATTTATTTTCTTTAATATATTTTATATTTATAATTTTTATTAAAAATTATAATAAATTTTATTATTATTTTTTTATAAAAATTTCATTATTAATAATTTTATTATATATTTATTATATTATAAAAATATTATTTTATTGAACCTTCAACCTTTAAACTTCAAACTGTTTTTAAAAACATTTTTACAGCTATATCTAAAATTCCTTCTTATTATACCCTAATTTCGGGTTGGTCATATCTCCTGTTATTTATCTTTTAGCCCAACCCATTTCCTTTTTCTATTATTATCATTACCATTTTTTTTATTTAAATTCCTTAATCAGTTCAACCGGAGACAGAACAGTGATTAGCACGGTGACTACTGTGAAATCAATGATGAAATGTGTATGTATATATGGTTGAAGAATTATTTTATGAAAACAAATAATTTACTATCAAATAAATCTGTGTACTAAAAATTGATGTTTTTTATCTAATTAATATTTATTTAATTAGATAACAAAAATAAAATATAAGTACATAAGATTGAAATTTTTTCTTAAATCACATTAATATTTAAAATACTATGATAAAATTATATATTTTTTATAATAAAATTCTATTTGAATATAATTTCAAATTTAATACTTAATTTAGAACTTAATTTTATTTAATATGAGTAAAATAATATAAAATAGATTTGTTTTTCATAAAAAATATAATTAAAATAAAATATATAAACTTTTAGAATATATAAATATTTATATTTTAATTAATTTTTTTTAAAGTGCGGTAAAACACAGGTTAAACTAACGGTATTATCCTAATTTTAATTCCTTTAATTATCAATATAATTTCATTTTGACCTACTTAAATTAGTAATTTATTAAATGTAGGTTAAAAATAAAGAGAGAAATAATAAAATAAATATCATAATTTTGTAATAATTAACTCAGATTTAATATAAATATAATATTTTTGTTAAATATATTAAAATTTCAATTTCAATTATTTATAACGTCTAATGTGTATTATTTTGCATGTAGATGTTTACTTATATTTATTCCATCTTCAATTAAAATCTCATTATTTATATATTAATATAGTATTTAATCTTTATATGGTTTACTTATATTTTATACCTATCATTAATATACATTTAATATAATTTAATTAAATTACTTTGATAATTTGTTTCAATATTATTTTTTAATTGCAAATTATCATAAATTTAAATATAAAATAATAAAATAACGTTATATTTTTTGTAGGATTATTTTTAATACAATGCCAATTTGATATAGATTTTATGAAGTCCAACAGGACATGATATTTAATGGAATGCAATGCTTATAAAATGCTTATTTTTTAAAAATTAGGAAAAAATGAAATAACAAACCTCACTATTTGATCTCTACCTATCTTTCTTTCTCTATCTCTGTACTAGAAATCTAGAACTACAAAGAATCCTTTTCATTTTTGTTTCCCTCTACAGATCTCTAAAATTCTTTCTCATCAAACCCTAATTTTGGATTGATTCTATCTTTCTTGTTATTTATCTTCTGCTCAATCCATTTTTTCCTATTATCGTTACCATTTTTTTTTTAAACTCCACAATCTGCACTGATCGATGGTTCTGGAACCTTCACGAGTCTTCCCCTTCTTCATGGGCCTCTACCACCCTTGCCATGCCTGAGTTGCGTATTAGAATACGCAGAAACAGCCTCGTAGACAACGCAAACGCGAACCAGGTCACTCAGCCAGCCTCGCCGGCGACCGTCGGAGCTGGACGGAGGAAGACATCTGCCGTGGCTGCCCCGACCCGGAGGAACCGGAGACAGAACAACGCGATCACAGCTGACTATAGAATCGTGAACGAGAACGCCGGTGCCGTTCGCGGAGCTAGAAATATAAATTTGAAAGAGCAGCTAGGGAAGAAAGAGAATAATAATAAGATTTCGGTTAGGGTTTTTGAAGAAGAAGACATGGATGAAGACGATAGCCGTGGCCGCAGCGCAGACAAGGCTGCGGGAGCTGAAGACGAAGGCACCACTGCTCCTCTTCCAGAGAAGGTAATATTAGTTTCATATTGTTTCTCTGTAGTTTGAGTTCTGAAGAAATGTACAAGCATAACTTTATTTCTTTAATATAGATTTGTTCAATGTTATGCTCAGATGTATTGTTTCTCTTTGTTATTTTCTTTAACGTTGTGGAACAATGTTAAAAAGTTTTATTTTGCTTGGTTCTTAGATTTTTTTTTTTTTTTTGTTATGGCTGGTTCTAATATTAGATGAATGAACTAGAAGTTATACAGCTAGGATACTGAGACTGATACTGATGTAGAATGCTTTTTGTATGTGCTTAAAATGAATCTGTATATGTATGTATTTTTGTTTACAACAGGTTCAAGTTGGTGGCTCTCCGTTGTATAGAATTGAGAGAAAACTTGGGAAGGGAGGATTTGGGCAAGTCTATGTTGGTCGGCGGATAGGTGCTATGAGTTCTAGCGAGCGGACTGGTGCTGGTGCTGTTGAGGTATGGTTTTAGCATGTGATATTTGGTTTAAAATTCTGTTGACTGATGTATATTGGATTTATTGTTATTCACGTATTGCGCTAATGAATATAGGTAGCCTTAAAATTTGAGCATAGAAGCAGTAAGGGGTGCAATTATGGACCACCATATGAATGGCAGGTTTATAAGTAAGTTGATTGTTACCTTTCTACGTGATGAAGATGCTCTGCTGGGGTCTTACATTGTTATGGATATTAAGTGCTAATTTTACCATCATTGTGTTCTGTAGTGCATTAGGAGGTAGTCATGGTGTTCCACGAGTACATTTCAAGGGCCGGCAAGGTGACTACTATATTATGGTATGTGCTTATGAATTTTTAATGGATGGATGGAGATTTGTGGTTGTCTCTGAATGTTTATAAATAAATTTACATACAGGTCATGGATATGCTTGGCCCCAGTCTGTGGGATGTTTGGAATAACAAATCACATACGTGAGTATCTCTGTAAAGTATTGAAATGCAATGATTCAATTTTACTTAAAGTTGGAGATATTATTGAATAGCTAACTTTTGTTTCTTTTTCCTTCTGGATTTCAGCATGTCTACTGAAATGGTTGCTTGTATTGCAATTGAGGCTATCTCCATATTAGAGAAGATGCATTCTAGAGGGTGATGCGCATTTTCCTGATTATGTTTATGATGTATTTCTGGTTTTTATTTTCATTGACAGATTGGTTACAGTTCAGAATGCTTCCTGACTGATGTGACCATATGTTGGTTTGATGTTTTCTGTTTATCTGTAAGAAAAAAAGGTCAATCATTCGATGTTACCTTTTGGTTACCTGAAGAAGGAGAACATATCTTATTCCTCTGATTGAACAACATTAATATTTATAAAATGACTTGTGAACTATTAAAGTTGTATCTGTTCTTACTTTTTATTAGGAACTCTGGATTTTATTTTATTTATGCTTGTATTGTTTGTCTAAATTGAATATTAAGTATACTGATCACATTTTGTTGCAAGAACATTTCATCATTCTCTATCATCATTACAGATATGTGCACGGTGATGTAAAACCTGAGAATTTTTTGCTTGGACCCCCTGGAACTCCAGATGAAAAAAAGTTGTTTCTGGTTGATCTTGGGTTAGGTAAGTACACTACATTCCACTTGAAGATTTGATATGTACATTGTCAATTAACATATGTCTAATTTCTCATAATCTGGTTACTCATATTGCATTCCCAATTTATCTATCCAGCAACTCGGTGGCGTGATAGTTCGAATGGCCTTCACGTTGAATATGATCAACGTCCAGATGTTTTTAGGTAATTTATTTGTTAAATACCTGTTAAGTTTATTGGACATGCAGATTTTGAATAATTTTGTGAACTATATTCTTGCCACAGGGGCACTGTTCGATATGCTAGCGTGCATGCTCATCTTGGTAGAACAGGTAGCAGGAGAGATGACTTGGAATCTCTTGCGTACACTCTTGTCTTCCTTCTCCGTGGTCGGCTTCCTTGGCAAGGATATCAGGTCATAATTGTTTCAGATATAATCATTTTAGTACTGATGCCTGATGGTAAATGAAAATATAATTCTCATGAAACTTATGTTACAGGGAGAAAATAAAGGGTTTCTTGTCTGCAAAAAAAAGATGGCCACTTCTCCAGAAACTTTATGTTACTTTTGCCCTCAACCTTTCCGGCAGTTTGTTGAATATGTAGTGAATTTGAAGTTTGATGAAGAACCAAATTATGCAAAATATATATCCCTGTTTGATGGAATTGTGGGCCCAAATCCAGATATCAGGCCAATAAACACAGAGGGTGCTCAGAAGGTACATAATGTTATTTTTATTTTAAATTTTACTATTTATTGTTAACACACGCGATATAAATCTGAGTCTTAATACCCTTTTTCGGGCTATTATTCTGTAGCTTATATGTCAAGTAGGACATAAGAGGGGGAGATTGACTATGGAAGAGGATGATGATGAACAGCCAAAAAAGAAGGTTCGAATGGGAATGCCCGCTACACAATGGATTAGTGTTTACAATGCTCGTCGACCAATGAAGCAAAGGTTTTCTTCTGATGTTAAATATGTTTTTGCAAGTGATTTTAAAACATCAGATCCTAAAGATATATCCTTTGGTGTAGGTACCATTATAATGTTGCTGATGTGCGGTTAGCCCAACACATTGATAAAGGGAATGAAGATGGTTTATTTATCAGCAGTGTGGCTTCTTGTTCTAATCTTTGGGCACTCATTATGGATGCTGGCACTGGTTTCACTGCACAAGTTTATGAGCTCTCCTCCTACTTTCTTCATAAGGTTGGCTATTTTATGTTTCAGCAGTGGCATTATGTGTGTGATGCCGATGATATTATAGGATCATGTTTGTAACTATATAGTTTTATCTGTATTGTATTTTACTATTTTAGTTTTGAACTTAATATAAGCTGACAAATTCTTGTATCTGTTTTAATAGGAATGGATTATGGAACAGTGGGAAAATAATTATTACATTAGTGCTATAGCCGGAGCTCATAATGGATGCTCATTGGTTGTAATGTCTAAAGGTTAATATCCCTGAAGTCTTTATTCTTTGTGTATTGTGTATTTGGTATTGGAAAAAATTGGCTTGACTTTAGATGGTCCCTCTTTAGCACATTTAGACTCATCGTGTTTAAACTGCCTTCTTAATTCTACTGTTCTATTAATACTTTTAGGTACCCAATACTTACAACAATCCTATAAAGTCAGTGATTCATTTCCTTTTAAGTGGATCAACAAAAAATGGAGAGAAGGATTTTATGTCACTGCTATGGCTACTGCTGGGACTAGATGGGCAATTGTTATGTCCCGTGGAACTGGTTATTCTGATCAGGTCTTGCGTTTTAAAAAATTGTTTGTGATTTAAAAATCTTAGTAGCATTGAAGAAATCCATCTTATTTTATATATTCTTCTCTCCATACTTAATGCCAGGTTGTGGAACTTGATTTCTTGTATCCCAGTGAAGGTATTCATCGAAGGTGGGATAATGGATATCGTATCACCTCAACTGCTGCAACATGGGACCAGGCTGCTTTTGTTCTTAGTGTCCCAAGAAGAAAACCGGCTGATGAAACTCAGGAGACACTCCGCACATCTGCTTTTCCTAGCACTCATGTTAAGGTAAACAGTGCATCTGATTTTCCTCTAGTCATTACCATTCCATGATCATACATGTTGACATTTGATTTTTTTTTTCTGCAGGAAAAATGGGCAAAGAATCTCTATATTGCATCCATTTGTTATGGGAGAACAGTATCATAAACTTCTGAAATTGAGATTTCTGGCTGGCCATTTTAACTGCTGGCACAATCCTGCTCCCTCTTACATCTAGCTGGGACCTGAACATGCTTTCTGACCAATTTTTTGAAGAATGCAATGCAGCATTAATGTATGCTAAACTTTCTTTATGGTCACCATCACATATCATGATGCAAAACCTGTGCACTGTATTTCAACTTTGTCCAAAATACTTAAATTTATGAGTAAATTTAGATTGTCAATTAGGAAGAGTCTTTTGATATAAAGTTTGTACAGATCTGAACAGTAATTACTATATTGAAGGCATGTGCACAGGTTAGGCTTTTGTTTATTGATGGTATTTAACAAATATCAACTAAGATTTTCCAGTGGGAACTGGAGACATTTAAGCTTTGCACCCTTCTACTGGCCCCCTTTATGCTATCACTTTTGACTTAAAGCTATTTCTGGGCTTCTTGATGTTGAATTTGACCAATAGAAAGTGTATATTGTGGCAATGATTTGTAATATTTAAGCATTGTATTCTCTATTATTATTATTGCTGCTGTTTTTTTTTTTTTGTGATAATTTACTCTCAACTCTGATTGATTTGTGAGTACATCTCATGAAATTTAAATGGGATTAATCTAACTGAAATGAAGGATGAGGATGCTTCAGTTTCAATTTTTTCAAGATATAGTTAACTTTTTTTCTGTTTTGCTTTTGAAAATTGTTTTTGCACTATCAGTTTACTGTTTTGAATACCTTGCAACAATATGACTCTTTCAATTTTGATTCCTACATTTTCGAATCTATTTGATTGTTTTGAATGGAAGCTATGTAAATCTCAGTTACTAGATGTTTCAAATAATTGCCATCTATTTGTGTAGGTAATGATGACTTTGAAATTTATACTTCTATTATTCTAATGACTTCTTACTTCCGATTTCCAAAGTCTGCGTGATGGTCTTCTCTTGGTCAGTCATTCTATATGACTGGGTGCTCATTTTATTGTCCTAACAACAAACAATGCAAGATGCACATTTAATTCTTCCGAGAATTTGGCTGTCAAGGAAGCACATCTTGGAAGATAATTTCTTTACCTCTCCAATATTGATTTGTGTATTTCCCGAGAGTTATCTGGACTCGTGAAGCAGGTATTTAATTCTGCAGCTATTATTTTTCAAATTCTTATATTGTGCAGCTGAAATATTCATGTAGTTTGTTTAAAATTTATATATGGATGAAACCTTTAGTGTTCATCTGACCTGATTCCATTGACAATTTGTCATGATACTTCACATTTTTTTTCTTGCTCAATAGGAATTCGGGTTGTTTGGGTCGTATATTTAACTTCTGTGGCTATGGCAACGTGCGGGTTTTGGTTGGTCCTCGCAATGTTATGTTGCTGGAGCAACCTATATATCAACAAATCCGAAGCTGTTCAAGAAACTGATTTTTTGGAACTATTTGCCGTATGTTATTCTCCTTTTTTTAAATATTTGAATTTTCTTGGAGAATCTATGGGGTGGCTTAAATTTAAATTTATGTTTCTAATAATGTCAAAATTGCCATATTTTGAATGTCACACTACTGCAACTATTAAAGTTTTAGAAGAGAAACAATTGTGTCTCCATGAGATGTTTGGTTATGGACTGGATAAAATAGAAGGCTTCTCTAATTTACTTTTCCGGGTTTATTTCTGCACGCTACCCAACCCCTAAAAAGGCTATCCTTGGTGGGTTATATATCACATTCTGTTCATTAAAAAATGGTATTTTTAATTTTACAGCTTTTCTTTCAACATTTGTTATCTGTCTTTTGTTTCTAAGAGAAGGAATAGTCCATAAAAAGATACGCTGAGTGCTAGTAAGATAGACTAAATGGAGTCTATCCCTCCTTTTTTTTTTCCTTTTCCCAAATGCAATATTTTAAACACTTGTAATAATTAACTAGAAAACATTATCAATCTTTGTAACTCAAACCAGTGTTATCGAGTAAGCTTTCAACTGATGGTTTGTAAGTCAGCTACCTTGCCTTGGTCTAAGACGGTGACTTACGGGATACATTGACGAGTGTCCTGTGGGTAGGAAATCCCAAGTTTATTGACTGTATATTTTTTATACTATGTTTATGTCAATTCCTGAATGGACTAGGCATCAGTCTACTATATGCTTCTTATTTGGTCAAGTCATTTTATGTTGAGCATCTATTTGGCTCGATTTCTCCCTGCTGTTCAACAAAGTAAAAAAAGCTCAAAATGACCCCTAAATTCATGTCACTTTTGATTCAGATATTGGAAAAGCAGATGAATTGTTGTGTGGTACGGTGTGGAGGGTGTAAAGTTGGGTTTCTATCCTGCTCTCTTTTGTTTTGGGACTTTTTGAAGCAAATCACTGTATTTTGGAGGACATACAGATGAAGTATACGTCGATAAATATTTAGTAGTAAAAACTATGATAATAGTATGAATATTGTATAATAAATTTTGTATTTATTTTTAATTAATGATATTCTATTAATGTTTGTTTCGATTGAATCTTGTGTAATGGATTATGTCGTGTGCTTTCAACCAAATCGAGTAGATGAGCCATTAATAGACCATGTCATGCTTTCAACCGAATCCAGGAGATGAGCCATTATTTTAGCCTAGCTATATTCATAACGAGTATTGACTTGCTTGTGTGAGGAAAGTAATTATAGTTTTTGGTTTAATTCTGAAATGAACATTTTTATATGTAGAAAATAATAAAATTTTAAGCCAAGTAAATTTCTGTATTTTCTGGGTTAACTTTAATCTCTAATTCGCATAACGGAACAAAAACTCATGAACTCTGTATAATTTTTTCTACTCCAGTGTGCAATGCCAATTAATCCATTCCAAACGTTATCAAATTAAACATTTAATAAATTATTTATATAATATCTTAATGTCTTGGGTATCATAATACATTCATGAGTGTGCAGCAGATGTTTTCTAACTGACTTCAGTAATTGTTGTTAGTCGAACTTTACGAGTCGAGATAAAGGCTATAAAATCATTAAGCATTTTGAGTAAGCTTAAAGGATATATTAAGCATTCCTTAATTATGCTAAATACGTAACTCGATTTTAGCTGAATTTCTTTCTTTGCTCTTTTCAGGTATCATTTTCAAAAACAGAATTATATTTTTAGTGGAAAGAAATGCTTAAACCTTTTGACCGACCCTTTAAAATCAGAATATTAAAAACTCTGTATATTTGTATTTGTTAAATTCTATTCCTTTTTCCTCAGATATTTATATTATGATGTTATCCTATACTATATGTACGAGGCTTGTTCCAAAAATCATTGGAACCAATAGACAGATACGCCAGCCGGTTCATTTCTTATTTTATTCAAGGTGAGACAATATAAATTAAGAGGGTTATATAAGTAATTTTAGTGAATTACACGCATACTATCAACTTACCAATTTTTTCATTGATGTATAAAATATACATATTTTTTTACTATATATATATATGATCACAGTGCGCATATGGATGCATTAAACCGCAATTCAACTCAAATATATCCTTAATCATTTCCTTCTATCATTCAGCTTCAAAAACATAAGAATAATCTGGGAGGTACCCGTATTACGCACCATTGTGAAAAACATCTTTTTAACAACTGAGTCACCTCCCCAAGTGTACTTAAACCTGACTCATCTTTTTACTGGCACTGCCCTTAATGGTGATGACCAAAAAAGGACTAGTTAACTATAACAAATTCCAGTAGTTTTTTTTTTTTCCAACTGGAACTCCATGTCAAGTGCTAGCTGCTTCCTACTGGACCCAGGTAGTTTTGCTGAATGTTTGAAACTCACCTGGAACGTCAAAATGAATTCATTTCACATACACCTAAGATTTTGCTCTGCGACAAAGTCTCCTCAACCGAACTCTTTCCTGGAAATGGTAAACATAACATTAAAATATTGTAAATCACAGATGAAAATGTTAACACATCTAATTGCAGAAAAATGATACGCACCTCACTGTTGTCATGATCATATCTAATTAAGATGAGACACCTGCAACCTCTAATATCATGCATTCTCCTTTGGATTTCTACAATCTGAGCATCATAGTAAATTGCCTGATCTCTCCTCTCCTAAATTTCAATTGGAACTGTCAAGTTAAATGCTGTCACAGTGATGGTCTGTAACAAAACTTCAGTGAGGAAATTCAGCCTAATTCACCTGGAAGCAAAGGACAGAGTCTCCAACTTGCAGGTTGAAACACTCTGTGTTTTCCAAAGGAATAGAACGTTGGCGTACTGAACTTTTAATATTGATCCACTCATCTTCTTCAGCTCCAAATCCAACAAATCTGACATGGACTTCCTTTAACAAAAGACAAGAGTGTCTCAGATGGAAAATCTAGTACCCTCAAACAAATCCTTTACCAAATCTTACAACACAAAGCTATGAACACATTGATTGTTGACACTTACAGCTTCCCCTGTGCTAAGAAATCTGTGAGCAAGAAATGCCTCTACATCATACCTGCAGTTACACAATATTTACAGATTATATAATTGATTGGAACAGTGATGTTGAATATATTGTGCCTCTATGTTGCAATTGATAGTAGATCGGCAAATTTTACGAGAGTGTCTTTAATTTTTCAAAAATAAAAAGTGAAAGGAAGACAAGGAAAAGTACAGATCAACAAAAAGGAAAAAATGAACTACCCAAAATATTTCAGCAGGGAAAGAATGATAGAGACTGAGCCCCATGATTAATATGTTAACCATTATAATGGTATAGATGGTTTAAACCTTTAAATATCCTTTCCCTAAAAAGTAATAAAAAAAAGCAGTTAGCTAAGTTTTTTCCAAATTGATGGAAGACAGGACTGTCCAGATGGTCCATCGTGTTTATATTTATTTGTGTGTGCGTGTGAAAGAGCACCAATGAAATAATTCTTCAGGATCAATGCACAAGGAAACACAAAATTGTCTATTAAAAAGTAGAAAAAAAAAATAGTATTAGAACTTAGAAGGTGAGTTGCTCAACAATGAGAAAAGAAAAAAATAATAGGATTATATAGATAAAAGGCCCTCTGTTGAGACATGTTTTTCTATCTTTTTGTATTCTCTGTTTATGTTCCTTAGACTAGGGTTAAGGATTTGGGTTGATACTCATATCCTCACTGTTGTATCTCTTTTATCTATAAATACAATATAATAGTGTCTTTAGACACTGTATTGAAACCCTAAATAAGTTTTTCAAGTTGGTATCAAAACGTGTACAATCCCGCACTGATTTCCGGTCATCCCTATCATCTCTGTTTCAGATAAATGGCTTCATCTAGTGCTTTTTTTTTTTCTGCTACTCCTACCATAACCAATGTCAAACTCAACTGGAAAAATTATCTATCTTGATCTGCATTAGTTGAACTATGGTTTCTAGGTCAGGGGTATCATGACCATCTGGAGAAAGATGTGAACTCTGATTCTGCCTCAGAGATATCTTATTGGGAGAAAATCTAGCTTTGTGCAATCTTATGGCAGTCTATGGAACCTGAGGTTCTTGAGCTTCTCAGGTCATTCAAAACCTACTCTTTCTTTTAGAAAAAGGCTCAAGACATTTTTGCTAACGATATTCAGCATCTCTTTGATGCAACTCAAAGAGTGACATCTCTCAAATAGTCAAATCATGACATGATGTCTCACAGTGCAGAAGCTAAGGCTGCTATGGAGGAATTAAAAAGGTTTCTTATGGCACATACCTTAGAGGAGTTAAAATCCTGCACTCTGATTTTGATCATATACGTGATCAAATCTTAGCTGGTGATCAGGTTCTGTCAATGGATAATCTTGTCACGAGGCTGATTCGAGTTCCCAATCTTATGACAAATGAGAATCAGGTGGACAAGGATTGTTATATGAAGATAAGGGTAAAACTCAAATTCTAGGTTATTGTGATGCAGATTGGACTAGTTGTCCCATTGATAGAAGATCTACTACTGGGTATTGTATTTTTGTTGGAGGGAATTTGATTCCTTGAAAGAGTAAAAAGCAAAGTGTTGTTGCTCGATATAGTGCAGAAACTTATGGCACTTGCTACATGTGAACTTGTGTGGATCAAACAACTCCTTCAAAAATTAAAATTTTGTGATAATGGGCAAATGAAGTTGTTTTGTGATAATCATGCAGCTCTCCATATTGTCTCCAACTCAGTCTTTCATGAAAAAACAAAACATATCATAATTGATTGCCACTTTGTTAGAGAAAAGTTAGTGTTTAAGGAACTTGTAACTGAATTTGTAAGTTCCAATAAGCAACTGGCAGGCATTTTAACTAAATCCTTGAGAGGTCCTAGAATTCAGTTCATTTGTTCCAAGCTTGGTGCATACAATCTATATGCTTCAGCTTGAGGGGAAGTATTGAGACATGTTGTTTTTCTATCTTTTTGTATTCTCTGTGTA